TCAGATTTTAAGTTTTAGTTTGCAAAAATCAGATATTTTATATATAGATATAGACACATATTTTTTATATTTAATTAAATAATAATAATAATAATAATATAAAAACTAATTTATATACACCCAACCCCACCCCTAATTTCTCACCTCTCTCTCTCTCTACATTTTCTACCCAGTCGCCGCCCCTTCTCTCAACATTTCTCCACCGCCAGCCGGCAGGATACCGCCAGCACCACCTCATTGCTCTCTATTCTTACCTTTCACCCTTTCCCCATTGCGAAGCCTCACATATCTCTCTTTGCCCTCTCCACAAATGGACCACCGCCATCGCCGTAGACTGTAAATCGAGCCAGCATCTAGAAATATAGAAATCCGACGTGCAATGTCGACGCTGGACTTGTATATGTTGACTGGCTCGGCTGTGCTGAAGAGTGGTCTGCTCCCTCAGCCCTAATTTTCAGGAAATTTCTGTTATTGTTCGGACAAGGACTAAAGTTGATGTCCAGTGGCGGGATGGCAGCCAATCAATGGGATTAGATTCACATTCTCTGTTACCTGTGAATATTGTTGATGATAATGGTGATGAAGATCAGAATAATTAATTGAAGAACAACTTCTTATCTCATATTAGTTTAGTAGTTGGCTTCCAAGATGGGGTATTGAAGTGAAATGGGCCACTGGTAGATGATAATGGTTAAGATCAGAATAATTAATTGAAGAGCAACTTCTTATCTCATATTGGTTTAGTAGTTGGCTTCCAAGATGGTTCTATTGAAGTGAAATGGGCCACTGGTGCCACTAGCAAGGTCTGCACCTATCTTATGTTTTTCTTGAAATTTATCCTCTTTTAGTTGAACTGGAAATGAAGTAATGCAATTAGTTAAAAGATTTATTGGTTGTTGATTTACAGACTGAATTTTTATATTTGGTTTTCATTTCGAATGTTGTATGTGTGTGGGTGGAGAGGGGTTGGGTTCGGTTGATTTCATTACTTGCCTATTTTTGAAGAATATAGAATTGGTCATCTGATGTTTTTCACACCTTTGTGGAAAATGATTTTTCCTTTCAATCTTCTACTTCATTGTTCTCATTCATTTCAAAAATCCATGTATACTAAATGTTTTAAATACTCTTGTTTATTACTCAACAACATCATAGGTCGCACCATATGAGATATATCGAGTTAATAAATGCGACGACACAACTGCCACTTCTATGCTAAACGATGAAAATGTTCAAAATATTCTGTGACTTGTGCTGTGACCATTTGAAATAAACCTTTAACTATCAACAAAAATGTAAGACATGAGCCTTATCATGTTATCAATTATTATAAACGAACAATCATGCGTTGTGACTTGTGACCTGGGCTGTGACCTGCGTTGTGACCTGTGACGTGAGTTGTGACCGGGACTGTGACTTGCGACCTGAGCTGTGACCGTACAAAAAATTCATGTCATCGGAATAGTCGCCGGAAAAGGGTCACCGGAATCGGAATAGCAGCCGGAGCATTCGCCGGAATCGGCATCGGAGCGGTCACCGGAGCAGTGGCGGAATAGTC